ATGTACCAGTTCCGACTTACATACAAATTCAACTTAAGAACAAACCTACAGTCCCTATCTTGTACGTAACCCGGGGACTGCCTGTAAATGCCCCCAAACGTGTGGTTCTATAGTCAATATTTGCATTCAATTCTCCTGTGTCTCCATAATGTGATGAACCAAAACTCTGGATCCAAACATCCCGAGCTCTGGAACCATTCGGACCTATAACCAAACATGGTGATACATTGCTTGGTGGAGAGGAGTTCTCTTTGTTAAAGTTTGTTCACTAATTAATCAACAAATGACAGGTATTGCCCAAAAGATTTGAAAGCACTTAAAGAAAGAAGATGAACATCATTTCATGAGTGATATGAGAAGCAGAATTGTTTTGTCCTCTTCTTCCCCCATCTTCCTTCAGCTACAGCTGTCCCCTTTTCACCTAACCTAATAAGGGTTTATTTCTGCCAAATTTAGCCCAGATGGGAGCAGGGGTATCTCCAATTGACTACACTTGTGCCCCTTGAGCTGAATTTCATCTTGTCCTCAGTCTCTACCATCCATGTTTGCATTTTCCACCAACAAACCTATTTTAAGTGCCTTGGACAAGTAGTGAAAGAATTCATCCTAAAACAGTTTTAAAAAATTGTGTTTTAGTTTTAAAACAAATGAATAGAATTAGGACCATGGAATAGGACAGTGATTCTGTGGGTTATAATTAATGTATTTTTTAATATATATTTATACTCACAAACACACACCCCATCAATTAGCCACAAGAGGGCTCTGCACTACTGATAAAAAGTTGCAGAGAATTCAGTGGATGAAAAAACAAGTGCTGTTAAAAATTTTCTGTGAATATTTGTTCTGCTTTTCTAATCATTCACTTCAACTGTGTGTGCACTTTCCATAAACATTTTGGAAAGAATGTTTGTAGAAAAAGAGTTCTAAGTGAAGAGTGTAGATTTTTCACAGAAAACCAGTTTACAGTTTGTCTAACAATTCTGCTCACTAGATCAGGGAACAAAAACAGACCATATAACTGTGCTTGAACATATTCAAATTTCAAATACAAAATATTCAAAACAAACTGCTTTCAAGCAAGCGAAAGGCAAGAAATTACTCATAAAAAATGTTTGGTGACTAGTTTCAAATCACAAAAATTCATGATAAGCTCCTCTCAGATGATTTTATAAACAGAAAAGAAACTAAATTCATAGAAGACATTATTTTATGTAGTATTTTCCTGGAAGTGGAACTCTCACTTCCAAAGCTTTGTTGAAGTTGCAACATCAGTGTTTTGATGAAATGCAAACCAAGGTCCTTGTGGTTTTTATGGCCTTGTGGCTATTTTATGTGTAGTCTGGGGATGCTTTTCTGTAGTTTCTTTAAATGAGAATTGTTTTGATTAAACACCTTTCTACCTATCTTCCCCTCGCCTTTAGTCCAAAATTGGAATATTCAGTTTAGGGAATGAAAAGTCATTGTGATTTTCTATCACTTATAGAGGATTTTGGAAATATGTATTTGGTTTTGTTTTACAAAGGAATAACTCGATTATTTTTTTTTAAATAGTACATTGTGCATGTATCACAACTTGGCCAGACCACAAGGTATCTAGAGATGGAGCAGAAGCATGTATGATATCCATGAAGGATGTCATAGCAGGGATTTCATCAGATTTGTTTTTGGCCCGTATAATATTAATATATATATATGAATGTTTGCTCTGTGTTTTCTATGGGGCTTAAAGTGAAGATAAATAGATCCCCTTCTGTCCCTCTTTCATACCCTTTAGATATTGATGTCAGAGCCTGGGAAGCTGTTACAGAAGGTAAAGGTGTGGCTCCAAGAGTACTGGAATGTTACAGACCTCATAGCCATTCTCCTGTTCTCTGTTGGAATGATACTTCGTCTGCAGGATCTGCCATTCAGGAGTGATGGGCGAGTCATATACTGTGTTAACATAATTTACTGGTACATACGTTTGTTAGACATCTTCGGTGTGAACAAGTATTTGGGACCATATGTTATGATGATTGGGAAAATGGTAAGAGACACTTCCTTTGTTCTTTCCATAATTTTTTTAGCATTGGCTTTATTGTATTTTGGGGAGTTGGCAGAATTAAATCAGTACAAATCTCTAGTATTTTGTTATGATCCTAGGAAATAGTTTCTTTATCCTATGTCAGCATCATGGCAAACTCTCATCCCCCAGCCTGAAAGAATCTAGCTCTTCTCCAGACTTCTACAGATTTGTATACTGGAATTTTGCTTGGAAACCGCAGAAACCCCTTTTCAACAGCAAAGTTCTTGCACTTGTTTGTGTCTCAATTTACCTATGTATAAAGTGAGGGATAATAATTCTCTCCTACCTTGCTTTGAGGTCTCTTTAATTAATTAATATTTTTAGAAGTACTTTAAGATCCTTAACAAGAAGGGTGCTACAATAAAGCTGGTGTGCTCGTATATTGTTAATATTAATACTTTACATTATATAAAATATAACGTATTAATATTGTCTTTCTATAGCTTGCTGCCCCATATCCTCGATCCCTTTTGTCTCTCTTCCTATGGGCATACTGCTGTCCCTCCTTGTGAGAACTGAAAATCCATCCATGTGACTACAACATCTGTAATTGAGGGACATTGCGTGTACATATTAGGGCATTAATGTTAATATTTTGTATCAAATATAACACAGATGCAAATATAGAGAGTTAGAAATTCTGTGAGATCCTCAGCTCTGAATTTCCTCCCTTTTGCTCATTTAAAATTTCATCTGTAGCACTCCATTAATGTTGGAATTTTTCCTTCTAAAGCCAGATTCTGAAAAGATAGAGGGTCAGGTCCACCTACTAAAAGGTGCCTTCAGTGAGTGTCCAAGAAATAACTGCATATAAATGCCCATGCACACTGTGTGAATATGTAGATGACTAAATTGCCTCGTAAGTGTGTGAGAGAGAGAGAGAGAGAGGTCCATTTTTTTCAAAATTAGGCTGTCATGTTCCAAATGTTTAAAATATGTTTAAAAATCAATATTAAAATATCATTAGCACACAGCAGAGATGGTGCAACTGAATATTAAATTTACCAAACAACACAGTTTTTAATGATAGCTGATTAATATGAAGGTAATGCTCACTAACCCTGGTAGCAGCCACATGATTCATAAGTAGTCTGCCTTGGAGAACACTATACTTTTAGCAGCAAACCTACTAAGTACACTAAAGTATAACTTCCCTCTTCTCTTGCATGAGGTATTTCAGGAACAAAACCTTCCCTTACACTGTGCAGCTAAGGGTTAGAACCACTTCTGGGCCTTGGATTAGGTTATGCCTATAGAACCCCATACTTCAAAGCAATGAGTGTCAGGAGACTTCTAGACTTGGGATATACCAGTGCAAAATACTGGCTGTCTTCCTGACAGAGTCACTAAAATAACATTTCACCCTCTCTTTAGTATATTAGCTTGGTAGGGTCTGAACGGTTAGCACAGAATCAAACCTATTTTATGGAAAAAGAGAAACCACAAAAGAAAATAATTTTCCTGCCAAAGGGACTTTGAGAGTCTATGGATTCCTTCAGAGGAGCCAAGGGAACAACGATTCCAGAACAGTAAAGGGAGAGACCTCCCAGAACTGCAAAGTCCAAATAGAAAGCACTCAATGCATCAACAGCTGCTGCTGCTTTAGATTACTGGAAGGAGAAAACAGGCTTTCAGAAAGAAAGGACGGATGAAAAAAGCAGGCAGAAACCATTGCAATAGCTCCTGCCCTACCTCAGTCTAGCTTACCCTAGACTAATCTCTCTTTTGATGATCTTTACCAACACTGCCGATCAAACTGCCTTTCTCATAAAACTAAAAAAGAATGTCAAAACAGCAAAGTAGTTCTCTGCCACTGGTACCATACACAGCCACTCCCTCCCCCCCTCCCCCCCGCCTCCCCATATTCAGCAGAAGTAGCTTGGAGACCAATTTGCTACTGGACAGATTCTTAGACCTCCTACTAACTGAGGCACTGGCAGGCAACATTATGATGAACTGACATTAAGTTCACTGAACCCAGTTCAGCAGTGACATGAATGGTGTGGGGTAACAGGACCTGCAAATGGGTGCAAGTAGAACATGCACAAGGAGTGTAACCTCTTGCTGCTTTGGTATTCTGTGGTGCCAGATTCATCCCTGCTATAAATGAGTTTGACACCATTGCAGGCGTTGGGAGTTGTACTCATCAAGTCCTTGGAGCACTATGGCAGGGGTGTTGGTGCAAATTAAAGTAGGGAACTGTTTTATGCCCTTTTGCTATTTGTTTTTATTCTTTATCAGTTTCCATGCACTCAGCATTTTTGACCTACCTGTTTTGCCCATACTATAAATATCCAGTTTGTACAAGTTACACAAATTTGTCACTCACCCATTTTCTGGCCACCTCACACCCCATGCATAACTGACAGCCCCATTTATATCACTCCTATCCTTATCCGCCATTGCTTGCTTTGGGCTGTATTTGGTTCACTGACTACATTTTTGTTTAAATCACATTTCATTTTAGTTCTCCGGGTTATATCTAATCTCCTCTTTCATCTCATGTGCTTAGGAAGTACAGCAAAGCATTGTGAAGGATCTACTTGATTAAACATATTTCTGCCAAGCAGGCGTTATCACAGCAACTGTAGTCTCTAAAAGGCCCATACTTAAATATAAATAGGATGAGGGTACAGATTATACCATGTGGAATATAAGCAAGATTTTAGACTCATTAGACAATGGACAATCCTTTCAGACCTTAATCCCTCAAGTATTTCATTAATTTCATGAGAGTAAGACAAATAATTCTCTTCAACTCTGTCTGCATGGCACCCAGCACTATGAGGCACTGATCATCACTGGGGTCTTCACATGCTGCCATAGGATAAATAAGTGTTGTCCCTAGATTCATGAAAAACTGTGCATAAAATTGTGCATGCTGAAATTAAATCAGGAATAGGACGGGACACTAAAGATATAAAACAGAGAAGCTGGTGCTTGTTAATCGATGAATTTACCATCTTATTTCAGTGGCTGGATGTGAACATTAAAATTAATTAATCACTTTGAATTTGCAAGTAAGATGAAATGTCTCCGACATGGTGTCACGAGATTAAGATGTGTATCAGATACTTTTCCATACAAACGCTAACATCAAAACTTTTTCATTTGTCAGCAAATCAGAAATTGCTGTGCAGTTACACTTTATATATTTATAAACATATTAAATAAATATATTAATACAGGCACAATTCACATTTTGTCACCTAACTGAGCATTTTCAAATAAAAGATTAAGAGAGTTACTATGAGGAAACAAGCAAATTAAACTAGCAATTGTAATAGGCAAACAAGCCCTAATTCAATTTCCAGGGAAATCAAAAGAAAGATTCCTATCAACTTCATTGAGTTTTAAATCAGGCAGATTGAGAGGGCTGAGCCTACAGATGAGACAACATCTTGCTTGTGGACAAGACAAAAACAAATCAACTCGTATTTCTAGCAACAAGGGCCCTAAACATCATGATTACTGACAAACAATACATCAGAAGGTTAAAAGGTTCTCTTAGGTAACATCAAAGATAATTGTCAGCATGTTTGGTTACTTCCCTGACATTTTTGTACACCTGTCTGAAGTCAGTGCTTGAGTTGCAAGGGGAGAGCAATAGCATGCTCCAGCTTGGTTTCACATGTTTTCTGTCTGCAGCAGTAAGAAATGTCTGTGACAAACCACTTCTACTGCATCTCAGCATTACCAGAACCACAATATGCTAGAAATCTCCTCAAAACAGGTTTTCTCAAGAAATAGGATTAACAGTCCAAGCAGCATTCCTGAGGATTTTTTTTCTCTGAGTGGTGGCATTACAGATGCTATCAGACAGAAAAAAAAACCTGTGGCTGTTATACTTCCTTCAGCCATCCCACTTTCACGCTTTCCCCAGAGACTGTATCCTAACCTGTAAATATAAGTCTGAGATTCTTGATTTCTTTTCCCCCCTCACCATTCCATTAGAGATGCATACAAAAAAAATGGTAAATACACAACTAATCAGAAAGTTGGCTGTATATGTTTCCATTCTTTATACCATTGTCTTGCTCTTCTTTCTTTCTATATATATATATTTCCCAATTTCTTCCTTTTCCTGTCTGCATTCCATTTTATCTCAAGATTTTAATTTTCTGTCTCTATTTTCACTGATCCTTGAATTACTTCCCTTCAGAGACTCAGCAGTAATTCCTACATTGCCAGATCCATCAGTTATAAATGAGTTATTAGGCCCTCCACCACATTGTTAACCTGTGCTAGACTCATCTGAAGAAGTGGGTTGTGCCCACGAAAGCTCATGATATCATCTACATGTTTTGTTAGTCTCTAAGGTGCTGCAAGACTGTTTGGTGGTTTTTTAAGTTTTTTTCACTTCCAGACTAAAATGGCTACCCCTCAGAAACTCCTCCACCTCTGTTGTCAGCCCTTTCTGCTGAGCGGCCCATGCACAAGTGGCTGCAGATAACCAGGATGTGAGAGAGAGCGAGTGGCAGTCATTCAGTGCTGACTGGCATCTGTATTTTGGTCATACTGCTGTTCACTGCTTGCAGTGAATACTGACTTTGAGTCACTCCCAATCCCAGCCGCCACCAGAAAGTAAAGAAGAACATGGAAATAAACCTCAAGAAAGTTGACCAAACTTTTTCTAACATTAAAGGTAGATCAGGTTGAGTTCTGGACAAAGGTTTGGATTGGTTCTTTTTTGTCCAATCACCTCCTCATGATAAGCACATAGAGACTGAAACTTTAAAAGAAACTTAATCTGGTCTCTGAAATCGGTTCCCTATAATTTTCATATCACAATATATTGTTAGTTAATTTATTATGTTTATTCTTCAGCTTACATGGCACCTATGATAGATACTCTAGGCATTCCCCAGGATTACTCTTCCTTTAATATCCATTCTTGGGGTTCTCATCCCTATTGTTGATGCAACATCTGTCCTCAATGTCATGCCTATAATCCTATACAGTACCTCTGGGACTCTGAGGCATGAGTTTTCAGGCACTGAATGGATCCTTTTTTCTTAAGCACTCCCTTGAATGCCAGACATTATCACCATGTGGTAATGAATGATTTGCGTATGTGAATAAGACAATACAGAGGGGAGATGTATAGTACTGGGCCTCTATGATATTTGTATGTTATCTTTTTAAAAGCCCTTCCCTGAGTCCTCTGGCTGCTGACTGTCACCTCCAAACATACTGGTCACCTCTGGTCCTTGCAGAGGCACAAGCCTCCTGTCTCACTGGTTACCACTGTGCCTGTCCATTATGTTGCACAAATGAACTATTCTGAATCCTTGCTAGACCCCCATTTCCTTTGCCCTGTGACATTGCTGCTAGCTAAGTAGATGACTATGCCCATGGCCTGCCACTTCTTTTTGGTAAAACCCCCACCTGTAGCATAAGAGCAGTGTTTTGTCTTGCAAGTGTGGGCTCTACTGATCTGAGCGGACATCAGTGACATAGTAGGTGGAGGCAGCATGTGCAGCCAGAAAGTAGTCTGTGACTTCAAACCTTCAACCCACGCACAGCACACTTTGAAAAGCTACTGAAAATGAACCCCGTCGAACGAAACACCCAGTTTCCCACTCACCATGTTTGAAAATGCCAATCCACATGTGCAAAATTACAAGTGGTTTCCAGAAGCCACATGTGAAAATTGCATTCTTAAACTTCATCAATTTTTTTCAGTCCATCAAGGTTGAAATACTGTATAGTCAAATAATTTCCTCTAACTAATTACCTTTATCTTTGTTTCTCCCTCATTTTAGATGATAGACATGATGTATTTTGTCATCATTATGTTGGTGGTTCTGATGAGCTTCGGTGTTGCAAGGCAGGCAATTCTCTTCCCCAATGAAGAGCCTTCATGGAAGCTGGCAAAGAACATTTTTTACATGCCCTATTGGATGATCTATGGGGAAGTGTTTGCAGACCAGATAGACCGTAAGCAAGTTTATGATTCTCATACTCCAAAGTCAGGTATCCAATTTTGATCAGGCGATGTCTTACAAGATCATTTGTGTGTTCTCAATAAATGGCTCGAAATAGGGGACTCATTCACTGAAGAAGATATTCACAGAAAAGCTATTACTTTTAGCTGCTAATATTGGGGTACCAATTTCTGCACTGCTAAATTTTATCTTTCATATAGACATACATAAATAACTTTTCAGGTGATTGATTCTTTTTAAATGCTCAAGGGTATGGGTGGGGGAAGAAAACCTAGGTATACAAGAGGAGTTCATGGGTATATCTAGGACATATAGCACTCCACTCCTTTTCCATCCATTGGTTTAATTTTGGAATGAATTCACCAGTTTTGCTTAACTTGATATTGAGAGTCCAGTCTCAAAATATAGAGCCATCTTTTCAGCTGGTGAAAGTTGGCATAGCTACCTTGAAGTGAGTGGAGTTATGCTGACTTACACCATCTGAAGATTTGATCCACTGAGTTTTGCTTTCATTGGGACCTGTTCAGCACTACCCCCCTTCGGTTAAATCATGTGATGCAACCCTTTGTGAATGATGGACATATTACTAAAATTTTGTTTAATTATTTATTGAGAGGCTTGAAATTGTGCTCAGTTCCATGCAAATAGAATGGAAGTCACCCTTTCCTACACATTTATTTGGCCGGCCATCTGGAAAATGCCAGTTTTCTATTTAACATTAAACCTCCTGGTGCCATCAGGCACAGTACAGAACAGGAGATAAGTGATAATGCTAAAAGATGCAATGTGAGGAATGGGAAAAACTAAGAACCCACCCTTTCAATAAACACGGACATGCAAGAGATGCTCTGCCCCTTCATTTCTACTTAAACAGGCATAGGTCTTGGAAGCATTTACAGATTAATCCTCTCTCCTAATGGCCGAGAGAGACATTGAATCTATATAAACATATTAATTCAAATACTAGGTTACAGTCTTAAAGGAGGATTGTGCTTGCACAATATATCATAGGCTCATTCGAGACTGAAGAATTTAGACTGGTTTGTTCACTTTCCCTAGGGTACGTCTACACTGTATGCTTATTTTGGAAAAAGCTATTCTGGAAGATATCTTCTGGAATAGCTTTTTCAAAATAGAGCATCCACACTACAGGGAAGCCTCCAAATTAGTCCAAGGCAGGATTCCCTAATGTGGATGCGCTACCTCGATTTAGAGCCCCATGAGGCACTGAGGAGGAATAACTTAGAATGGCCTTAGTGAGGAGTTATTTTGACATAGCAGCAGTGGAGCATCCACACATACCCCCTTCCAAAAGAGCTTTTATGGAAAAGGTGTTATTCCTTGTGGAATGAGGTTTGCCAACATTGGAAAAAGCCTTCTGTTATTTCGATTTTCTTTCTAAATGACACAGTTGCTGTGTGGACGCTAGTATTGTTTTTCCGGAATAACGGCGCACACCCCTAGATTGTTTGGAGATCCAAAAGTAATACATATATCACCATTAATCCCTTTTAATGCCTTTTACATGTACACTGTGTGTTCCAGGAAAGGTGACTCAGCGAGTCCTATGTGCATTCTTTCCCCCTCGTGTCCATGCAACTCTACATCAAATGCAAATAGGATCTCCTTTTATGGTTACCCCTCCATTTTGTTCTCAATGGCAATGTGGCATGCACGCAAATAAACAGCTTGAAACACAGCAAATTTCTCCCTCTATTTACCTTTCCACTTGGTTCCATCTTTTTTTTTTCCCCCTCCTCCAGAAATCCATTTTAATTCCAAGGGTATAATAGTTGGGGGCTGATATCATCCCTTTAACTGTGACTCACTTTTACAAATGGAATTGTCTGTCCTTCTACAAGAGGCCATTTATTGATGTTGTACTAAGAAACTAGCATAGTGCAACGAGTGCGGCAATTTGGCTGGATAAGAGGTTTTCTAAATGAAGTGCTGATTATAGTTTAGAACCCTGTAATCGGGGAGAGATTATTTTAACATGAGTGGAGTATGGCTACTGGGAATCTGTAACAGGCTGGCAGACTCTCTGTCTTTGCATAGGGATCCAAGGCTAATCTAGTGAATTTTCCTGATGTCCAGTGCTTAAACCTTGTATAAGGAAGCAGCTGAGTCATAAAAGCAGGTGCATCATCTTAACTCCCAGCAAAAATAAAAGTTGTTGTTTTGTCCCTCTATCAGGCCCTACACAGTACTCAGAGAGAGAAAGAGAGAGAGAGACTGATTGTGCAAGGCATTAAGAGTCTGCCACTCTTTCAGTGTTTTTCAGTACATCACAAATTACATGCAAGATGCTGTATATGTGAGGATAAATTGACTCCAAAATGTTACCCGTGAAATAGAGTGAAGAATGCACTGATTAACGGACACACAATTGTCTTATTTTTTTGGATATTATTATTTTTTTCACTGGAAATGTTCTGCCATATATTCTCTACACTGTTCTAAGCTAAATCAGCCACTGTATTCTATTTAGAGTGACTGTACATTCTCAAATGTGATTCTAAGCTGGACTGTCCTAAAGCTGTCTGCCACCTCTAAAATATAATCGGATGTCACAACCTGTGGTTTTACTTTTCTTTTCATATTAAATTGAAAGGAATGCTCAGATTTTTTTTTTATATATATTTGTGTTTTGGCCATGAATTCTGGATTCTGCCAGAGTGTTGGTCTCTGACATATTATGAAATGGAGCAGCATTCTACAGATTATTCATGCCTATTTGAGAAATGTACAAAAAGTGTATGTTACTCTAAATTTTTTTTTCCTTTTATCTCTTTCTGTTGATTTGTGAAGCATGCTGTAAGGCTGGCCAAATCCACCTCATCAATTGGCAGTCTCTCCATCTGGTAGATCTGCTCTTATTTTTAATTTTCTCAAAATACTGCACTCTTAAAACACTAAGCAGTCATATTTTTCTAATTTACTGCATGGACTATATGTGTTTATATAAAATCAATGAATGCCTGCATTTGCTTCACGTGAAAAAAAATTCTTAATTGAAATGTGTAGAGATGTTCAACAATGTACTGTGAACAATGAAATCTCACTTGCAACTCAAAAGCAAGGACAGTTATACGCTCATTTCTTGGAGTTAATATGTAACCAAGCAATATGTTCTATTACATATGCAGTATACATATACACTCTATACTCATATAGATTATTGGCTAGAAATCAATCATAAAAGAAAAAAATATAGAGCAAAACTTCTAAGATTATGTTTACAATATGTTCAAATGTTAAAGTTAGTCCTAAAACTGAAATGAAAAATCTGCTTCTCTCAGACACTATCTTGTTTATTGCAGAAGAACTGGCTGGATAAAACAGGGAAACTAGCACTGATTGATAGTGATTCCCAGTCAACTGCTGATTAGTTGTTTCAATACACTTCTAGAGGACAAGTGTCCTCATCATAAAATTTGCTCCTGCAGTTTGTACTAATATATACCCTTGTTGGAAATCTGAACAGAAAACCCAAAAATTGAATTTCCACAAAGAATTTTATTCTCACTGTTAAAAGCTGTCCCTTCAGGGAAAAAACAGGGGGTAGGGGGCTTGGGAGGGGGGAGACTGAGACGGCATCAAAGGAAACCTGATGCTGTTGTCTATAGAGTTGTTCTATAAACAGAGGGTGAATTTGGTTGGTAATTTTTATGTGATCAGATAGTAACTGTACAATGACATCTTGATGGACAGCAGTCATCATTAAAATCCAACGCCTAACATTCTTCCTGGACTTAAAATATAGAATAACTGTGATGGCTGTTGGCAGATATTGACGTTTTAATGGCAACCCTTGTATTGTTGGCTCATTGTCTTCTATATAAAAATTTGCTTCATGTATAGATCAAAACAAGTTTTTCTTTCCACCTGACAGCATTTCAAAAGCAATCTGAGAATGAAGAATCAATCTGGATTCTTTCTGCTCCATACATCCCCTTATGGAAAAATCCCATCGAATCATAATAAATAGATAATAGACATTATGGGCCAGATTCTCTTCCCATTTACATTTGAGTAATGCCAGCAATTAGAATGGGGCCACTTCAATGTATAGTCGTTATATGCAAGAGGAGAGTCATTTCTAACAAGTCTTCATAGGTTTTTGGACCATCATAGAGAATGTAATAGAAAATTACATCCTCATTATAGAATGCTCTAAAGAGAGGGAAAACTCTGATCTCAAATCCCCAACCATGGGTTAAAGGAAGTAGTGTGTTTGGTAGTGGTTGGAGGTCCAGCAGGTCTATGGCAACAAAGTGGAAAGAAAGTGAACAAGTATTTAGTCTAATTGAGGAAAGGCATTTTGACTGTAATATGTGACAGTGATGCCAATTGCCCTGTATAGTGCTTATCAGAGCAAGATATCTAGAAGAATATAGAATTCTATAGGGTGGCTAAACAAACTATAGGAAGGGTGTATTTTTCTGTTAAATTTTATGGACCCAATTCACACTTCTCTTAGCTTAATGGGGCCTTACAGTGAGTATAAATTGCATCTGTATCCACTTGAAAGCCACTTAACACTGACAGAGCAAGATAAAAGTAAATATATGTAAGTGAGAATTCCAGGCTTGTTGATTTTATAATAATTTGCATTGAGCCTTATTACAATACTAGCCAATTAGCCCGCCATAAAATGGGATTTTCAGGTCTCTCCTCCACGTCAGTCTTCTCTCCTGAGCCTCTGGTCTCTCTCTCGCTCTCTCCTCCTCCTCCTCCTCCTACTGCCTTCCCTTCTCTTTCTCAGCGCTCCTTCGCCTTCTCTCTCTCTCTCTCCATCTCTGTCTTTCTCTTCTCCCCCTCCTGCCTCTCACTCTCTCTCCGCTCTCCTCTGTCTCCGTCGGGGATGCACGCTTGTCCAGGCCCTGCTCCCTGGGCATATACGTCACCACCTCGCTCCTCTTCACCTCCCACCATGGCGCTCAGCTGACTTCTGTGCCACTCAGCCAGACCGCCACGCGGGAGCAAGTG